AGTACAAAGCAGTGAAAATCATTAATAGGCAATTGTTCGATGGGCTGAATTGCACAAAACGCATGTTCGCACCGGCTAGTTTGCTATTTATTTTCTTTGAAATGTAGGTGCTTATTTAAGTGGTTTTGCCGATCTGTGTCTTTTCAGAGGGCATTTACTGTCGATCAGTGCATCGCCTGGGGGCTTATTGTTCTTCCAAATGGCATTTTTAATGGCGAAGTGATTGATGACTGGTACCAGCTTTCAGGGCAGCAGGTTTCATATTTTTCTTGCAAATTTTTAGTACTTTTTTGCTTTCTTCGTTCATTCTTGTGCAGTTGCACATCAAACGATCGTTTAAATCTAAAGGAAAGTATTTTAATTTCTTACACTTTTATTTAAACCTCTCCTTACTCGATATGTGTCCTTCTCGCAAATTTTGACAAAAATTCCTCAGTGGCTTAAAAACGTTCAAATTTTATAACTTTGCTATTATTTTGTGTTTTTTTGAAGGGTGAAAGCAAAGAAGGCGTCATCAATCTAATAATTTCATTCGCGCCGGTCGAGATGCCGCCACCACGAACGCAACAGCGAGCAGGTAAATTCTGAACGAAAAACCGTGCGTTGATGTGAGTGATGGACTTGAAATTGATAAATGGTTCGATGACTTGGGGCACCCGTCCTTTGCCAATTTTCGTGGTTTCCGTTATTCACTGATTGGTAAAAAGCAAAATGATGTTGGCTTAGGTTATCAAACCCCGTTTTCCCAGTTTTTGGCTTAGATTTTTTTTCACTTTCCTTTTTACTTATTACTTTTTCATACACATTAACTTATTTAGTCTCCCATCTTAATTACCTTTTAAAAATTTCGTCGCACCACAGTCATTGTACTGACGAGGTCCAATTGTGGTAAAGGTAAGAAATGTATACGACTTAATGGACCAAAAAATTTCGTACCCACTTTAATATTTCTTTTCATGTTCCCCATCATTTTTTCTTATATTTTTCCTTTAACCTTAAGTTAGGTTATCAGAGCCCCCGTTACCGATGATAGGATTAACACTGCCTTCGTGGTATGTTGCCTGTGTGTGTATGTGTGTGCGTGTGTGTTTGTGTGTGCGTGTGTGTGTGCGTGCGTGCGCTAAAGAAGCTGAAGTGATTGATAAATTCTGTACTGCCGGTCTTCCATTGGAACTGTGTGGATTATCTTAGCGAAACAGTGCCATTGAACGAACAGTGTTACTACTACGATCAGCCAGACTTTCATTGTGGAACCTGCCTCGCTGAGAAATAGATCGAAATTGGCAATTTGGGGCTGAAGAAAAATGTGATGGATTAAAATTATGACCAGGGATAATTTATCTCCCGAATCACCACACTAGAATTTGTAAAATACCAATGTTTCTGGATGTTACAGAGAAGAATTCAAGACGATATAGTTGAAGTGTTATCTTGATTTAGAACAACAAATACAGCAACCAATGGTACTATTCACGGAGGAAGAAGTGAATGAATTGCATGCAATGTTCCCAACAGTGGATACAGATGTCATTAAGTGTATTCTGGAGGAAAAACGAGGCAACAAAGATGCAACCGTTACAGCAATACTCGAAATGACCGCTGAACACTGAACACGCAGTTGTATCGCTTCCTTTCTCTCTCTCTCTGTTTTCTATGCATTGGCTCGTCGAACTAAACCTTTAAATGGCACTGGGAAAAGTAATTTTTTCCCCAAATTTACCGGTTTCTGAAGCCCGAACTCTGACGAAGAACCGATATTTGTCATCCAAACCGATTACTCGTCATTGATATGAAATTTATTTCAGTTTACAGCATCGATAGATAACCCTGCGGGTTCGCGCTTTTCGCAGTTTGACTTTTTTGCATTTATGCAAATCGAAAAATATAGTTTTTCTAGCCTTCTGTCATGCTCGGTCTGTGTTTTTGCCCATTTGGTTTCCTCGTAAAACTAAGACAATG